TGCGGAATGTTTATTCATTTTAATTTTTGGGCTCAGCTACCTGAACATTGAAACCATTCAAAATCAAGAGCATTTTCACTCTCAATCCAGAGATGCTGAAAATTGAGATGAGGAACCAAACAAAAGTTCCTGCAACATGAAAATAAACATGGCTTGTAAATTTGACACACCACCTGCACAAATTTCCATGATTTAAAAAAAAAAAAAAAAAAATTGGCAAGAATATAAAATGAGACTTCAAAATCGTGAAAAGTCAAGCCTCCCTCCCCGCTCTCAAACGCCATAGGCGTGTCTGTTGAGTGTGTTGAAACCACGTCCTGCTCAACTGTCAAATGCTACGATCAGTACTGGAACATTTGATATTATTTTACACACAGCTACATGTTCGAGCTGTGATAATATATCCGCTTAAAACATTCAGGGCTGAATCCACAAAAAAATTTGCCACTGCAGTTTGCTCCATTTTAACGTGCGATACCCAAAGGATATTGCGCCAATGTCATCCCAGTGCCAACCCGCCCACAAAGTTTGACGGCTGAGTGCGGTTTGCACCTTTTTACACCCCCCAACCCGCCCCAGCCCTGCCCCTGATTGCAGGTGTTGCACTATAAGAACACGGTGTCAAAACAAGGGCAGTTCGGAAGAGACTCGTTCACTCAATTCAAATCCCAACTCCAAACGCAACCGTTTAAAACTGCCAATTAAATTTATTTTGGAAATTTGAAACATGTCAACAGTATATCACACTGACCCGGTCCGAACGACTGCCTTTCATGGGCCGAAATTATTTTTTTCAAGCGGGAAGGAGGTACAGTATGTGATCCCTCACATTGCTCAGATGTCGCAGATTGTAAAAAAAAAAAAAGAGACTTCCACGGAAGAGCACCAAGTTTACAGCGGCGTTTTCTAGGCGCTATTTGCATCGCTTAAAACGGAGTGTGGCGATTAGCGCTGGTGTGAGTGAATTAGACGTTTATCAATGAGGCTCATTTGCATAGAGGCGGGCAATTTCTCCACTAAATATACGCATATAGCGCTCATTTTAAATACGCGCAAACACCACCGGCGCACCGAGACGCATTCCGCTTGGTATCTCTGTGATGCATTTCAGCAAGTGTGTGTGTGTGTGTGCGCTTTGTGAATTAAACGCTAGCCCGTTTGCTCCATTTTTATTGGTCGGCGCCACGTAAAAGCCACAAAGTGCTTCGGTGAATTCGGCCCTCAGTGTTTAATTTCTAGTCATGACATCATTGGCTGGTCTTACCAGTTATTTTCTGTCTTCTAAGTCGTAAATCGTGCAATCTATGGCGGATCTTAGGCGTTGTTGGTCAGCTTTTTCAACTTTGGAGTCATCGTTATGATCATCTAAAAGGCTTCATGTCATTGTGTGATTGATCATTTTTACATTCTTGGGCAGTCATGTAAAGGCCCAAAAACGGACGCAATCATGCGGTCGTGCCGAGAAGCAAAAAAAATGATATTCAGCTCATCTTGAAGCCAATCATGAGCCAAGGTAACAGCTTGGATGGCGGCAAATGAGCCCCCGGCCCTCGGACGTGCGGCGCGCTAATGGCCCGATTATACGCGCTCGTCAGGGTGCAACCGGCGTGACCGCGCACACCTGTGCACGTGCGCTTGACCACTTTTTTTTTGGAGGCTGCCGGCGACGGCGGCTGCAAAAGGGTTGATGCCGGGGAGGGGGGAGCAGGTAATAAAAGCCGGCGCCGCTGTCACAAAACTCGGGAGCTCCATCGCCCAACCCCACCCCCCCACGCTCGTCTTTTAAGTGCTGCCTGCATCAGCGGCGCACAACACAAAGACGGGAGCGGAGAAGACGAGAAGAAAGGCGCCGAAAAGAGAGACAGGGTGAAATGAGGAAGGTTTGGCAAGCCCGTGGCTGGAAGGATTGATTTTAAATGTGGTTGCAAAGGCGCTGTTTACGATCCTCTCTGGCTAGCCCCCTTCACAGCAGAGCCGCCATTAAACCAAAATATGCCCCCAGCACCCAACCTGCCAAATCCCCTCCCCGAAACCCCAAAAAGTTCAATCTGTATGTGATCATTTTTTCGGAACAAAAATATGTTAGAATTTGTCATGAAAAGAGGAGGGATAGCGACGTGGCAGGCACCGTTCACACAGTTGACGAGAAGTTTTAAATGTCAATTTTAGTTGCTGTTTCTACAGTCCAACATGTCATTAGCGAAGTTTGCTGTCACGGGGATCTCTAACGAGAAGTCGTCGTTTATCATATCATCCACAGTCAGGAGTTCCATGAAATAAAACATGCACGTATGCAAAACGTTGCTCCACACGCTCAGATGACAAGCAAGGATCAAGTCCGAGTCAACAGCAACGCTTAGCTGAGCTTAAATTACTCGATGATGTCATTATCCGGTGCTCTGCTTTTTGTACGCTATATCACCGTCTACTTCTGGCTGATTTTGCCAGCCAGCCAGAGTTCAGTTGTCACTGACGGCCGTTTTGCATCGTGCGGTCGATGGCCTATTCATTCAATTCGTATCAAAAAGCACAATGACACAAATTTGAAGCATTGACTTTTGATTTCATGAAAGCCCTGACTGTGGATGGTATGATAAGCAATGACTTCTTGGCCATGCTTGCTATACTGTGCAAAAAAGGGATTTGATTGACATTGATTACAAGACTCCAAATAAAAAGATAAATAAATACATTTTAAAAAAAAGGGTTGAGTTAACATAAACGCATCGTGACAGGCAGAGTATCGAGGAACCGAAGAATACTGCAACTACGTGAAAACGGCAGGAAAGGTATTAAAATCTTCCTCGAGGTGTGGAGGGGAGGGGTCAGAGGGTGACTGACACGAAGCCCCGCCCCTGCTGGTCACCCAGTCCATGAGAAAAGTCTTTCTGTCATTTGAATATCTTTTCATCGAAGAAGCGAGCAGTTTGACGTGTCTCTGTTGGGCTTTTCACTTTGATTGATGTCATTTTGTCGTCTTTCCACCATTTCATGTTTTTCAGTCGTTGCTCATGCGGTCTTACACGATAGGCTTTTTGGGCACTTTTTATACAAGAATTAGGTGGTCTCGTCATTGGCACAACTTTTCGGTCGCTATTCATGTAGTTCTTGCCGGTAAGTTTACACTGGATACAAAAAAATAAATAAATAAAATGGCTTGTTTTGTAAGAGGGTGTGCATACTTGTGCAACTCCGTTTACTTTCCTCTCTCAAAAAGATTTTCTCATTTCGAAAAACAGATTGTGCAGGTTCTGGATGACGGCAGAGAAAGTTTTGAATTGATCTTGATCTCATTCTTTTTTTTTTTTTTTTTGTCAATCACAAAATTTGGCATTTGGAAAAAAGGTTGTGTTTTTTTAATCCCGGCTTTTCAGTCACGTTCCAAACAGTCATGAGACAGACTTACTATGACCTTCGTACGCCAACCAAACAAACTTTTTCTGCATCTAAATCTTGTCCTGTTGCCATTATTCATTGACTACAATCAAGTTATTAACTACATTCAGAGAGACTTTTAACGTCATTCCATAGTATAAAAATTGATTATTTATCCATCTATAGCATAAAACGGCTTCGGAGGACACCGAGAACCGACGCTGACCTACTAGCAGGAATTAGTTCATCAATTTGTTTCACAGTTGCTGATTGGTTTTCATTCACGACCCCAAAAGAAGTCGTTTTCTTTCCATGGGCAACGCCAAGAAAAACGTTCTCCTTTTCTTTTTTTTTTTCTGTGGCAAAAACTCCGACTGCTCAGCCTCCCATCACTCGCTTTCACACATTCGAAGGCGAAAATTCCCTTTCATGCCACGCAGGCCCGGCTCGTAATTATCACGTTGTTGGCGGCCATTAGCCGTTTGATTTATCGTCCTTTGGCAGGCGGCAACAGCGGAGGTCTCTCCCCCATCCCGCCCGCCCGCCTCGGACGTGTGTGAAATGCGCGAGCGCGTGGAGGGCTGGCGGGGGGGGGGCGGGTAAGCGAGAAGCATATGTCTGCGCTGTCACGCAGCCACTTGTTAGAGGAAGTTTAGCCTCGCTGTGCCTCCAGCCACTGCCTTCATTATTAACAACATGTCTGCCCTCGCGGGAGATGCTCCAAGGCAATGTCTTGGACAAAAATAAAAAAAAAACAGTGCTAGGTATTCCCTTTTTACCAACTTCCTATCATGCGCCTCCCGTAAGCACGTTTACGACTGGACTGCACATCAGGCGACCGATAGCTTGACCAACATTGTAGTGGCCAAAAATGTAATGTTTTAGGGGTTGGCATTTTGGAGTTGACTCACTTGAAACAATTTCATTTTTTGTAAACAACAGGCGCCAGGATGCGGAAAAGCAGTGGTGTGCAGTCAGGGCTTCTTTGTTGGCCCAAACACGGAAGGCATTTTCTCAAAGGTGGATTAGGTTATCGCTTTATTTGGTGTCATGCACCATGAAAGTTTAGGCACAAAAATGAACAGTAGGCATCCAAAAATATATCCGAGTTTGTCCTCTTGGTTTGCAGCCAAGCACTGAACAAAAACTGAGCCCAATAAAATGGCTTATGTCTGAACAAATGCTTGAGCCTTTCTTCATCTGACATTGCAAAGAAATATACAGCTACATCGGAAAATTTGCAAAAGAATTGCCTCCTCAAATCATCATTAAAAAAAGACAATGGCACTATTTTTTTAAATATAAGATGAAGGGATGTCACTAACAAATCTTTTTAGAATAATCACGTCATTTTACACTCAATCACTGTTAAGCAGTGCGTTAATTGAGCAAGTCATGCTAAGCTAAGTTAGCCGGAGAAGCTTCCACTTGCAACCAGACCCGTCTACAACCACCATGACGTGTGTTCAAACAAGCAAGCAATGATATTTTACATTTGCTAATGAGTAAAAAACAAATGAATAAAACATTTTTAAAAAATACCTTTTGTGGTGTGGGCTGCTGGTCAGTTTACAGGATCCGTGTTTCCGTCTCCGAGCTCGTCCAGTTGCACTTTGCATATTTATCTTTTTTTTTTTTTTAAGTTAAGCGACTTCTTCAATCTTTTTTTTCTTTATAATTTCCCTTTCCAAGAGGTTCCCATTTACTGAGTACGTTCATCTGCAACAAATGTCCATGCGGTAAACACAGTCAATGGCCAAACATGTTTCCGGGCAGCGCAAATATGCTTTTAAAATTATTAATTATAGTTTGGAGTCAGAACTTTTTGTGTCGACTAATTGTCGTGATCGATTTAGCCGATTTGTTTTTTGTCTTCCTCCCAGCCATAATTAAATATTTGCTTGGGCTCTAATGTAGCAAAACAGAATGTCTAGTTTACTGTCGTCTCTCCAGAGTACAACTGTTCCATTAATCAAAGCAACGGGGAAAAAAAATGTTACTTAGCCAGTCCCTCAATGATCACATCAAATGTCTGAATTTCCACCACATCTATTTTTCTATCAACATACCGTCATGTCCGCCACCTCCATTGGAAGCAATTCGCCTCACGTAACGTCTTCTTTTTGACTGACACTTCACACATTCAAAGTATGACTGGAGCGTAATAAACTGAAGAAAAAAAAAGCCCTCCGCGATCTCAATTGATCTGCTTGAGCGAATGAGGGGTTTTATTTGCAAGCGGTGCCAGCCGAAATCGCAAACAACTTTGTGCCACCCGGAAAAAATGTGTGACGTCACGGTGAAACCTTCGAGACCGGAAGTCGAGCCTCTCGTCCATTGGTCACGCGCGACGCCGCGGGCGTGTAATCTGATCGCTTGTAAATGTCGCCTGCATAATTCACTTGGCATCGGTCGGACGCGCGAAACGTCTTTTGTGAGAAGCTGCTCAGAGAGTCCAAATGAAAACTTGATGGGAAATTATAGAAAGAACCATTTTAACCACATATAACATTTAGAATCTGTCAATTTTACACAATATACTGTCAGGTGACCATTGTGTTGTTTGTTTGTTTGTCCGTAAAACATAAAATACTTATTAAAACATTTTTTATGATATGATATGTCTAAAAACATATAAAGATATTTATTTTTGTTTTATTTTATTCCGGTCACTTTTGGTAGTTAAACACATCCTGGTTCGAAAATAAATGAACCAGCCAACAACTGCATGTTTAGTCATTCTAGGTCGTAGAAAATCAAAATACTTTTTAAAACATTTTTTATGATATGATATGTCTAAAAACATATAAAAATATTTATTTTTGTTTTATTTTATTCCGGACACTTTTGGTAGTTAAACGCATCCTGGTTCGAAAATAAATGGACCACCCAGCCAACAACTGCATGTTTAGTCATTCTAGGTCATAGAAAATTTGAAAAGTGCTGAAACCAGACCAGCACAATAACTTTTAGCCTATTATTTTGTTTACTTTATTTTTTTATTGATTGTTTATTCATGGATTTTTTTGTTGTTGTTTTGTTTTTCAAAATATAAATCTGACTTGCAACATCACAGGACTATTGGTATCATGTTGGTATCGTATTAGTATCCTATTGAGATTATTCTTGTATTATGATACTGGCCCTGGACCGTGGGGGTACTGTATCTACGTGATATCAGATCAGTACTAAATCTTGCAAACCACCTATCATATCGAATGAATATATCATATAGTATCATGTTCACAATGATATTGATGTCTCATTACCGGCCCTGCATTTACTCTGGAGCTGGATGACAACAAATGTGGTTTTGTATTGTATTGTGTTGTATCACACTGTACCATTCCGGTACTTGAGTCACACTGTATTACGTTTTATCATGATACTGTATATTGGTATTGGTATCGTCTAATTAGACTCATACTGGTATCATTATCCTGGCCCTGTATTTACTTGATATCGGCTCAACGTCAAATCTTTCAGTATCGCCCATCACTAGTGATGATGAAGACCATAGCTTCCAGTGGAAGGGAGCATCTTTTCCATTCCTTGCATCCCCTCACATACTTGCCAATATAGCATCTGCAAAAAAAAAAGAACACACAAACACACACAGAGGGAGAGAGGGAGCAGCCATCAGTCAAAGAGTCTTGGCGCTGCAGGTCTGGGGGCATTTACATAGATAGATGATGGAGAGATTATGGGGCGTCGAGGTTATTAATCACGCCGCTGAGGAGGAGGAGAAGAAGGAGGAGGAGGAGGAGGAGGAGGGCGCCTGCTTGGTGTCACTCTTCTCTCCGGGGATGCCTCTTTACGTCGCGTATGTCTTTTGTGCCGTTCCCCGCTGCTCCATTGGCCGCCTTGCTCAACCACAGAGGAATTGCAGCGGGGACGCCGTACAATCCAATATGGCTGCAGGGGAGGTGTCGTGCTGACAAGTCTACCAGCACACCAAAGATTCACGATACACTCCCAAATTTCTTTCAGAAATGGTGCACACACACGCACACACGCACTCACACACACACACACACACACACACACACACACACACACACACACACACACACGAAAACCCTTCTTTTGGGGAATTCATTCAATGGAATTTATAGGATGTTTACAAAGCAAAGCATTAGCGTTTGGATTTTTTTTGTTTGTTGATGTTATTCATTTTATCCACAAGCAAACCACCAATCCATCCATAAAGATGTAAATTCCACAGAGAACATTTGACTGTTTTACAATAAATTGTCCTTCAGTATTTGTTTAACTTTAGAACAGCTAGTTTTTTTTTGGGGGGGTGGGTAGAGTCATTATCGTTTTATTAAGTTGTAATCTGTTAATGTATATTTTAAAAAACTGTTTAAAAAAGCAGCTGATTTTTCCTGATTTTAAAAGAGCTAATATAAGCCAAATCAATTGATTCACTTTGTACAGAATCGATTAATTTAACTGCATGGAGTTAAACTGGCAAAACTAAGAATTGTTTTTTTTGGGGGGGGGGTTGAATGTATTTAAAAGAAAAAAACGTCCTAGTTATTCATGTATGTTTTTCTGAAATGCAAAACAGTATAATATTAATTTTGTGACTAAATCATGTTTTTTAGCGGTCTGGATGAGATTAATGCCATTTCCACTCTTTCCAGTGGGCACAGAGGATTTGAAATATGAATGTTTTGAGTTCCAAGCGTGGTCACTGAGCAAATGAAACTCACAAGTCAGGACACCGCTGTTTTTGTTTTTTTTTTTCCTTCGGAAATGTTCATCCATTCCTTGGTGCTCATCAAACTGTGCGGGTGTACCTAATAAAGCGTCTGGCTTGCGCTCGCGCGTGGAAAACGACGTCATTACTCGGAATCGTGGTTTGTCATGGGGTGGGGTGGGGGGGGGGACGTTTTCATTTAGGTTAAACCGTTTGCTGGTGCGCCTGCGTGCAATCCAGCCCCGTTGACTGATTGCCTAATTCCTCCGAGATTGCGTTATCTCTCTCTCTCTCTCTCTCGCGAGTGTCTGCTCTCTCTCTCTCTCTCGCTCTCTCTCTCTCTCTCTCTCTCTCTCTCTCTCTCTCTCTCTCTCTCGCTGCCGGAGGATGAGGGTTGGGGGATGGGCCTTGGCTGTATGTGTGGAAATGTCACCAGCCGTCATGAAGCCTAGCCCCTCAATCAATCAATCAGCACGCTCTCACCTCCAGGCGTGTGTGTGTGTGTGTGTGGGGGGGGGGGTCTTTCCGCGGACAATAGGGTCAGGATAAGAAGAAAGAGACGGCAGAGACCCTGAACGCACCACGAACCATCCTCATCATCATCATCATCATCCTCTTCCACTTGCGACTGTTTAGCGACAGCAGATTGAGTGGCAGGTGCCTGACGCGTGTGAAGTTTTTTTGGCGCAAGGTAATAAAATTGAGAACCCAGAGCTGGACGGGGTGCGAGGGGGCTTGGTTCAGGGGAGTCGGAAGTGGAGAAAGATGGGGAGGTACGACGGTCAGTTCCATAGTGGTCTGACAAAAACACATTGAATGTCAAACAAAGTCTACTAATAGATTGGGATACGCAAAATACATTGGAATAATATGTTTAAAAAATACATAAATGACATCCAACAGAAAAGAAAGCGTTCTCGTGATGGGAAATTATGCTCTAATGCTCCAAAGTACATTCAGATTGAAATTCCTCATTCTTGTAAAGAAAACTTACTGAAATCGAAAGTATCCACATTAAAGCACCTCATGATTCTGGATAGCCATTCGAGGCGTGTGGTCTGACAAGTGCTTATTTATATTTTATATTTATATTTATTTATATGCTTTTTGTCTTCTACTTTCTACCTTTCATAATTTTGCTGCTGTAAATTGGGAATTTGTCTATTGTGGGACAAATAAAGGTTTTCTTCTCTTCTCTTATTTTGTAAACCCTGAGGATAATCTCATTTTCCTCGGGATGAACGACATCACACACCTTTATGGAAAAGAGCATTTTCTCCACAAGCAAAAACCCAACTTTCCAAACTTAGCAAACCCACTTGCCATCCCAGTGTTGCCTTTTTTTTTTTTTTTTTTTTTTTGCAAATTCCCCCCTTCAGTCACGGAGTGTGTTGGTGATGTTATTTTCACTCCCCCCCTGCTCTTAAGTGTGTACCGGTGCTTCTACGGCCTGTCATATTGCATCAGCGTGCTGCTGATTACTTCCACCTTGTCTCCTTCGTCAGGAAATGATTGTGACACGCACTCACACCCTGCTTTTCCCCCGCATCAATATGCGTGCCGTGGAGAAAAAACTGTGCAGGGTAAATAAATAATGAAAGACAAGGCTGGAGGAAGAGGAGGGAGGAGGCGGGCTTGCTGTTACGCCGTCTCGTTATGTGCGAGCACGGCCCGCATTCTCACAGTGTGCCTTCGCCTCATGCTGGGGCACACAATGTTAGGGGGGGGGGGGGGGGGAATGCATAGATGAAATGGGAAGGTTTGCTCAAATGAGACGTCACATGCTCATTGGGGTGGAATCAAAGTGACACGTTCATTTGACTTCCGTCCCTCACTGTTAACATGCTAATTCTTACAATTGTGCTTGGGAGATCAAAGACCCCCCCACCCCCCACCCCCACATCGTGTCTGTCAGCAGGTGGAGGGAACGTCACAGGGAGCAAATATGATATCGATACACCAACAATGAATATACGTGTACTCACGGATCATCGTTTGTACCGCCGTTATATCGCAAACAATCTTTTTTTTTTTTTCATGTCAGGATACGGGCGAATCCAAATTTTGAATTATGCGCTTCAGGTGCAGTACCACACTGTGCCACAAGATGCTGGGCAGCGCTGAGCTGAGAATGTTGACACAGTAATTAAGAGAAAGAAGAATAGGCAGAGAAGGTCCCCTACTGGGGTAAACGGAAATCATTTTCACTTAGCCGAAAGAATGTACCGTATGCCTGTCCATATTGTGGTACACAGCTGTGGCCAGAGGAGATAAAATGTACTCAAGAGTACTATTACTTATAATATGACTCTGTAGTCAATAGAATCGCTTGTCATAAAAAGACAAGAAAATCCAATTATGACAATGATACAAAAGAGCACAATGAATAAAATAACAAAAAAACATGACTTACTAATGAGTAAAACTATGGCAAGAACTAGAGTGGAATGAGCAAGGTATTAGCATCTAGAAAATTTGCACTTGAGACAAGAGTCGTGAGCAAGGCTAATAATCAGTTTTTGGCGTGGCTGGGTTTATAAAGGCAGCTGGATAATGAG